ATCAGTCCAGTCTGGCACAGATTTATTTTGCTGCAAAATGGATTGTTCCTCTCGGCTCCAGTTGCTCAGGACTCATGGAGCCATATGGCAGATTGGCTCTGGGAACCAGTTTGGGTGCAGGCTAACCATTTTGTGGGAGGGTTGATTATTTTTCAGATACATCAGTGCTCTGATTCAGTTCATTGCATGGCTGCATGAACACGCCTGCTGGCATGGGGAGAAGGAGCATGAGAAAGGGGATAGGCAGTGGGAGGAGAAACTGAAGACAAGGCTGCACTTCCTTGCACCTCTGCTGGTTAATGTCAGGTCACAGTGATGCAGAACTAAGGTTTGTGAATTTACAGAGGATCCTGACAGAGCAAAACTAATGTTTTCAAAAGACTGTTGAAGACAGCAGAGGAAGATGGAAACTGATTTTAAGGAGCTGGTCCTACAGTTATACAAAAAAATCTGAGACTGATAGAAATACCTTTAAAAGGAACCTTTCAAAAACAATTTCTTTAATGCCAGAAAGCAGCATTCTGTCATTTCTCACAGTCTGAATGAACTCAAATGCAAGAACACAAGAGTTTGCTAAAAACACAAATGAAAATAAGTAGTTTCAAAAAGATAAACCAATCAGCACAAATGGCAAAGTAAATTAACATTTTAAAGAAACGCAATCTAAACAACTTCAGGAATTATCTTTTAACAAAATGTCTTTTACTAATAGATTCCAGAGGACAAGTTTTAAATGTTTCAGCATCCCATAAAAACATAAAAAAATGCCTACTTCTGTTAGTGAATTATTGTTTGCCATGCATTAGACAGAAAAAAAGTGTTTCCTTTACAAATGATGTAATTTGCTTTTTACACCAGTATAATCTATTATTAGTCATCAAAAAAAAAATGCTTTGGACTTCCAAAACCAGCCGTTTTGACTCCATCTGCCTAGTGGTTCTATTTTATACCTATCAAATATAAGTGTAAAAATATGCTTTCATTATTCTCATGCAGAAAGAGAGGAGGAAGAAAAGGTCTGAGGTCACAGCTGGAGGGGCTGTGTGGCATGCAAGTAAAGTGTACTTGCAAATTTGTGTGGGGTCCAAACACTCTGAGTCAACTCCAGTGTCATCATGGGATAAAACCACTAAGGCAGCTGCTGAGTTTCCTGAGGTATCTCTAGTGGTGTAAGGAGAAAGCCACGAGGAAAACACATAAAGAATGTCTACATTATGAATTATAAAGAGTAAATGCCATGGGAACTTCTGCTTCCCATATTTCCTAATAAATGAGCAGAGACACATTTGAGATGAAAAAGCCACAAAGGCTTAAGAGGGATAAAATGATTTTTTTAAAAATAGACTACATGAGCTGAACTGTGGAACTTGCTGCCTTACAAGAGGAAATACAGCTGCCAGAAGTTCATACACTTTTGAACAACTCTATTATAGGAACTATGAAAGTGTCTATGATGTTATGGTGCTAAGAACAAATGTGTTTTGTTCTACAAGACATCAATTTTCAGAGTTCTGTAAAACATGGCACTGAGAAAAACAGGACTTTTACTCCATTAAAATTTTATGTCACATTTGCATATTTTGTAGTCAGTTTCTGATTCTTTGGATATAGTTGCTCAAAAAATAATAGTAATGACCTCAAGCTTTTCCTCTTTCCTGGGCAGGAACAATGCAGTGTATCAGTTTTGAGGGAGCTATTACCTTCTCCTAATTTAGCATTTCTCACCCTTCATTTTCTCGAGTCACCACAGAAAACATGGCATAATAAATGAAACTGTAATAGCTGGCTGTGGGTTCTGTAATATCCTCCCAGTGACATTTTCATGACATTGATGCCTCACAACTATCCCAAATATTGATGTGGGATATACCCACATGTTTATGCTTTTCAGCATGGAACAGACACTGGCTGTGGGGAATTTCCAGCTGAAGAGTTTAGGTTTCACAGAATTACTCTGAAGGTGCTAACTTGTTCCTTCCTTGTGATGAAGCAGTACTCCCTGGGCCCATAAACATCTATTCACATCCTGCAGTCATGCATCCCCTAAACTGATCCTATCCTGGAAATGCCTATCTTGATTCCTTTTCCAAACAACCATATTCTTGCTAATTGAAAATAAAAGAAGAAAATGTGGAATCAATTGGATACACATCAGGATACACAAGCAGTATCTGCACTTCTGGGCTCTGCATTACCTACTATATAATTGCATCTGTGCTACTCTTTTTGAAATCAAATTAGACTCTTTTCTTAACAAATTAGTTAGATGTTCCCTGTATGATGACAACAAGAAATTCAAGGGATTTTAATAGTCTTATATCTGGGAAAATAAAGAAGACTAAAAAAAACAATGGATTTTTCTGTGTGGCAACTTAAATGACCAAGTCAGTCTTCCTTCTCTTAGTTGTCTATTAACATGCCAAGGAGTCACAAATTTGAGATTTAAGAACATGCTGGGTTAACACATTTTTTGTCCCCTTATTTCATCCTCTTTCCAATAAGCACCCTCTAATTCACTTGGAACGTTTTAGCAAACTCTAATTTTTCTTTTCTAAAACATTCCCAGTGATTTTTGCCAGGCTCACTCTCCTAGAGAAATGACCTCTGGAAGATAAGCCCTTGGTGGACATCTCCTTATAAAGAATTCCCCAAATTTTCTGGTGGGAAGAGAATGCTATTTTAAATAAATTGCAAAATAAACTCCTTCTATGGATCTGAGAGGCTTCCATGGTCGACACTGCCCTGCAGTAACTTCAGTTTACTTGAAGCTTCTCTGCTCCACAGCTCATGCTCTCACAAGAATGATTCACATGCAGGATTTGCCACCTTCCATAACAGTGGACCAAAAGAACTCTGCCAAGGTCATTGTCCTTGGAATGACAAGTATCTAAGGAGAGACAGTGCTTTCTTCTGTTCCTTGCTCCTTTCTAAGCCACCACTTTCCCCTCTCCAAAGCCAAAGCAATGCATTGTATGTAGTGTGGTCCAGCATAGCATTTTTATTTTCTTCCCGTATTTTGGTTCGTGGGGTTTTTTTGTAGTCCACAAGACTGCCTAAGGAAGGGAGGCCCACATGAAAGAAAACCCAAAGCCTAAAATAATGAGTCTGGCTCAGAAGAACAAGAAACATTTTTACACATCACAGCCAACTTGCTAGCCTTTGTGCAATGGTCTAAGTTGTGATATATGATTTATTAATTTGTTTTTCTACTCATTTACATTTCATATTGCAAGACAATTTTTTTTTAAAAATTGACAGAGCACTAATTTACTTCATGACGGATTTGCAGAAGACTTAATAACCTCTTATTTTGTACAGAAATCCAAACACTGCCTCATTAAATGACACTGCTTGTTGAAGAGAAAGTGCTTCAAACTCAGACCCAAGACAGACACGCACATCCTAAAAGACTCCATCTTGAGCCCAGTTTTCCTTTTATCCTGCACTGAACTGCATGCAGAGTCACGCTAGCTGAGGAGCATTTTTTAAGCGGTTTTGAAGGCCTGGAAATGCTCTGCATGTTTGCTGTTTCACACGCAGCATCTGAGTCAGTGAGCCGCGGGCAGGCTCAGAGTCAGACCGCCCTCTCACGGCGAGCACCAGGGCAGGAGCCTAGGAGAAAGATGTCAGAGAGGGTCTCTTATCCCTAACATAAGTAGGCATCAGCACATGCAGCCAGGACCTTCCAAATTTCAAGCTGGAAGCAGTTTTTGTGCTCTGGCTTCTCTGCCAAAACGACACAAGTGTCGCTTTCTCGTTGTCGGCGCGTCGTGCTGGAGTTTTTGCTGCCTTTTGTCCTTGTGCTCAGCAGAATTTGGCGTAGGGACTGGATTTGCCATCCCTCCTTCTGTACTCTAGGTCTTGTAAATTCTGGCTTCATCAAAGCACCGTGATGAATGTCTTAATAGCTTTGTATCTATCATGGCTTGAAACAATCATACAGGGCACTGCAACAGAACAGTGCACTTACCTGCTCTCATTCACCCTTTATCTCTTCCATTCCCACCTTATCCCTCATATCTATCAGGGAGGACTAATACAGAATCAATTCTGTTAGTCTCAGACAAAGTAAGAGAAAATAGCACTGCTGGACCAGTATAAAAGAGATTGCAATACAGAGCAGAATCTGTATCTTCACCTGCACGTTAAAGAATATCATGACTCTCTGGCATTTCTGAAAGAAAACTACACCAATTCAATAATTTTTTCTCCATATTGGGATTTAAGTCCTAGACTATCGAACACATATCAGCATTGCTTTGAAACAATAACAGATAGGTATGTCACAGTTGTTTTGTTACTTGTTGTATAGAAAACATATTACACAGAGGATAAAACATCACACAGAGTATGATAAAGCATGTCACAGAGTGGATTGGACAGTAGCTGCAACTTCAAGAGATGAATAGAAATACACCTAATTTTTCATAAGGACATCAAGTAGTCAATTCTTTTGGGACAAAATGTAGTACAAAACTAGGTTCAGGAAACCATAATTGATGCCTGAGTGAGGTAGGAATTATTATAATCATCTTCTCACACTATTATTTAACATACAATACCTGTTCTGAAATGTTGCACCATGCTTGAGTTGCTTGCCAGTTTGAAGGTTTACACTTACAAAGAAGCTAAACTGACAGCACCTAGCCCATAAATGAAGTTATATCCTTATGAAACCCACTACAGAGTTAGACAATATACTCAAGGGAAATCTATATATTTCAATTTGTTGCTGCAAAGCAGGATGGGCTGGCAACTATACAGCCAGAACTCCAAAATATTTCCATCCCTGCTGCACGTCGGTAAGTATGGAAAAAATCCTCAGGACTGACAGCACTTACAAGTATGATGATGCGGATATTAATTTTACAATAAGAAGGATTTCTTTTGCACTGCTATTGCAATACTTCTTTGCTGCTGGATGATGTTTTGCTTGTGCATGTACCCAGAGAGACACTCTGGCAGCAGCTGAAGGAAGTGAAGGAAGGAAAGAGGCTTACCTTGTGTTGTCCCGTCCAGTCCCATGAGACATCTCATTGCCCTGATGATTTGCTCTGCTACGGGGGGACACATAGATGTGGCGTACACAGCACTATGAGAATGAGTTCGTAAAAAGTCCACAAGGTCCTTACACAAGCAAAACAAAGCATGAATGAGCTTTGAGCTGGCCAAACAGCAGATCTTCCTCTTAACTACTGCAGGAGTGGGAATGTGCAAAAGGAAGAGGCTGTTTCACCAGCTACTGGATTGCATTCTTGGCTGCCACTGTTAATACATGGCCTGAAGAAACATCAGGCAGGTCCAAATGCTTTACTATATAAGTGGGACAATTACAGCTGAAACAAAAGTCTGGAATAGAATAATGTTTACTTCTGTGCTCAGACTTATTATAAAGGAGCCAAAATAATTTCAAGACCAATGAACAGCCTCACTTAAAATAATGCTGCTCAGTTCGCCTCTGGTAATGGAACAAAGGCTATGTGACATCAGTATAGGTACTCTGCAATGTGACCTAGCCCAGGAAAAGCAACCTCACTGTGATCTATCTTTGTCTACAAGCACATAAATTTTCAATCAAAACTTTCAATCAGTGTGGCAGGTGCAGTGATGTCAGAGTTGGTATAATTAATTTTAACATTTCCTAAGAACACAATCTGTCCTCTTAGAAAACCATTTATATGCTGTAGGTATGTCTAAAACACCAGTAACTGTCCTGAATTCAGGCATGCAGTAGGAATTCAGATCTTACTAAGATCATCATTGTTGTACCAACTTATATCTCCTAGTGCAAGATATCAGAGTTACAGTTACCACACCAAAAGTTGAGTGCATGTTAGTGAGAAAGGGATGAAGCCTGCTTGAAAATTGACTTTGATAAAAAAATATAATCAGAAAAGAAAATAAAGTGAGAGTAACACACATTACTACCAAAATACTGTATGATTCTATGCAGTAACTCCATTGCTGAGGATGAAGATTTATCTAACCTTACACAGGTTGTGCATGGCCATATTGCAATTGTATTCCTAAGGGTTTGGCTAAAAGCTAAGAAAGCTTCTGGGCTCCAGCTGATGCAGAATAAACAGCATCACTGTGAGTTTTTTGCTACAGAAAGGAATGTAAGTGGGAGAATGAGTGACCAGCTTTCCAAGGCTGAGAAGCCTGAGGCAACGCTTAGTGATACACACAGGTGTGAAGAGAGTGACCTGTTTTCACTAAAAATAAAACTACCAAAGATTAGAGGATAAATTACTACTTTTAACACGTCTAATCTTTCTATACTTTCTAGTTACATTACACACGTTATTTTTGGTAAGAAATAAATGTACAGTTACAAATTCAAGAAGCCAAGGAAACAAAGAAAATTGATTCTTGATATATTATGACACTTGGTTTTAAGATCTCCAGAGGCAAACCCAAAGAAGACAGTAATAAATACACAGTTTATACTTTCTTATAGCTCTTTTATTCTACTGTAGGGCTACCCTTATTAATGTTATCCTGAGAACAACCATATGGGCTGAATAAACAGGCTTTCCACTCATTCAGCAGACTGCTTAAAAACTGCATTCAGCTGGGTATGAAGAGAAAATAATCAGCAACCATTTGATCTCTCTGTCTAGCAACAAAACCAATAACATTTCACAATGGTGCTGATTATGCTTTCTTTTCTACACCCCCAGTTAAAGCAAGCCTAGCTCTACTTTTTGTTGACATCTGTTGTTGGCAAGAGATTGTTAATGTATGCGGAGCAAGTGAGGACACAGAATTTACCATTGCAAAAGGCCCCCAGTAACCTTTCTCCATTCTCCTAAAAAATGCAACTATGTCAATTCACAACTCTTCAGGAATTTTATTATCAGTGGATGAAACTGTGGTTTTAATCTCTTAATATTGCTTCAAATACTGTTTACAAATGTGAAACAAAGTAATGAGCAATCCACATGCAAATGAGTGTAGTGAAGTATATTAGCCAACCACAACATGTCCAAACATTTCCAAGACAAACAACAATCATCAGAGTGGCACAGAATAATCCAACTCAAGCAAATTACATAATATGAACATGAGACAAAAATAAGAAAGTCTGACTGCTTGATGTGCATTTAGGATCCAAGCAAAAATGATGCTAACTTTAGAACAGTGCTGGTGTTAAGCAGTCTGTTCAAAAAGATACTGAAATATATCATACATCATACAAAAGCAGTTCCCACATCCTTGATGTGAAATTGTTTATGATTTCCTCTTACCTTTTTGCCAGCTATGTATCCTCCAGCTGCACCAAAGCTCTTTGTGAACGTTCCCATTAATACGTCCACGTCATTGGGACTCATTCCGAAGTATTCCACAACTCCTCGGCCCGTTGCTCCCACTGCACCAATGCTGTGAGCCTCGTCCAAGTAGAGGTATGCTTTGTATTTGTTCTTCAAGGAGACGATCTCTGGCAGACGCACGATGGACCCTTCCATGCTGCACATGGAGAGAATCGGGGGTGAACGACAAACCCTGTACCTTTTACTTCCCCATACTGGCAGAAAATACAGTCATTAATTGCCTTAGTCCACCAAAGTTCTCCTGAAATCTTGATTTTTACTTACAAGTCAAAAAAACCCTCTCAACCCATTCCCACTTGCAGGTGAGTACAAAACAGTTAAACAGTTTTAGAATTCAAACATTGAAAACAAGTCAAAAAGTCTTTGAATGTTTGTAAACTGTCAACATGTCAGAGGAGAGAAGGAAAGGTGTAAAGCAAGGCAGAGATGCTTACCCTAAAAAGCACACTACATTTCATTTCTACAAAACAAATATTATAAAGAACAGCTATAATTCAGTCTGGGACTTGCTTACTTAATCGTCAGCTACTGTGGCAAAATTTGGGCATAACAGCTCTAGAGCAAATTCATCTGGTGCATTGGAGTTGGGTCCAACATACACTGGAGATGGGCCATGTGAAACCCACAGCTGGTGCCATAAACTCTAAGCAT